AGGAAGGTTTCATATCTGCATGAGGATCCTGAAAAAGGCCATTTCTTGCACCTCAAGAAACATTGCGGGACCTGGCTGTTCTCCCCCAGCCTCTTTTTCTTCCATCTAGGTTTTGAGATTCTCTTCCTTGCATTTTTCTGCCTTCCTCCTTATGTTAAATTATTCCAAATTAGCCCCACCAATGCCCCTCCTATATATCTTCTCATGCCTAGTGGTAGTAAGATTTTTCTCTGTGCCAGGGAAAAGAATTAGCTTCTGAGTTGGAACTCATTTCTCTCCACTCTAATCCTATCCATCCTCAAATTTTCAACCCTAGTAGAACTTTCTTGAAGAGATTCTTGATAATGCTTTCTGTCTTCTCAAATCCTATATCACTTTCCATCAGCCAAATTCTGCTGGAATTAGTTGCCTGTGCCTTAGGTGTTGGTGTGTGTATGTCTCTTCTTACTCAGTAGCTCAGAAAGATTTGGAAGACAGGGATTGTGCCTCTGTTATCCCTGAGCCTCACTCATAGTAGATTTCCTCAGACCATTATAGAATCAATAAAAGCACTCCTCCTTGATGCTCCCTTTATTTCTGATACCTAGATGCGCCTCTGAGCTTCACACTGTCACTGCTATACACATGGATCTGTAGAAACTCAGACCCCCAGGACAGCACGTGAGAATGTGACCAGACTCCCTGCTCTAGTACTGCGTCCACCTCAGGTGGAGGCCTCTTACCTCCATTGGGGATAGTGCCATCCTCTGTGAGTACTTCAGAGTGATGAGAGGTCATTCAGATCCTCCAGTAGTTGCCTGGCAATGTGCCTGGCTTTGCAATGTGCCTTTGCAATGTGCTGGGCCTGGGAGTACAAATGGTGCTTTCTGTTTCAGACCCAGGAAATCAAATTCCTCTCTTCCTCTACTCTTCTATCCCTCCTCAGAATCTCCCAGGGGCTCATGGCACAGCACGATACAAATGTTTCCAGGGGGGAGGTCACTAGACACTGGATCTGGTGGGACAGATTGGACTGACCAGTAAGTGATCAGTGATTCTACTCCAGCTGCTGGAGTAGAGCATGGGCTCGTCAGGACCATGGACAAGGCTAAAAAAACTGGAAATCTTGTTTTTTTTTTTTTCTTCCTTTTTCTTACCAGCTGTCTTGGTGAAGACAGTGAAGGCTAGTAAAGCTAAAATCCTCTTCTAAACAAACCGGGGGAGAGGAGCAAGTGACATCCTCCCTTCTTGGAAATTCCAGTCTTTGCATCATAAATCAGACCCTCTGGTTGTCTAAAGTGAGCTACATGGACAGAGCTCTCTCTTTCTGGAGGAAAGCCCTCATGTAAAAACCAGGTTGACACTTGTCCACTAATTGCCTCCCACTGGAATGTAACTTGTTCAGGTATTCCACTCAGGTGTCATCAATTTCAGAGGGGTTCTTATTGCCTTTTTAAAAATTGCATAAGGACTTGTTCGAACCAATATTCTTATCTAAAACAGTGGAAAAAGCCATGATATTTTCTCTTCCCTTGAATTTTTTTTAGTATACACATTTTATATTCTGCCTTTAAAGCTATTTCTGTTGCACAGCTGCTTTACCGAGACTCAGACTCCTACGGGCCTGCTTGGTCCAACACATACCTTGAATATTCTTTCACAGTGTTTGATTTTTGCAGTTGGTTGTATAATGAGGAAGGAGTGTGCAGTGAATTTGGAGATTCCTATTAACGAGGTCACCCGTGAATCTATTTTCGTGTGCTTCTTTATTAGAAATAGCAGGGAACACGATAATATTTAAACACAACCACTTATAGGAGCTTGGCTTAAAAAATATACCTTAGTAAGTTTTCTTTTCCCATTTGGCATTTCAAAATGTTGTACTACAGTTTCTCATCATCAAAACGTCTCTTCTTCATTTACATTCTGGGACGTGAATAGAGACCATTACAAATGACTACGATATTGTGGGTTGGCACTGGAATTGGCAATCCTCTGCCTCAGGTAGACCATCTCTGGAGTGCCCCCATTCTGTTCTTGGTCTTGCTTTTGAAGATGGACTATAATGAAATAGACTCAGGACAAGATAGTAAGGCTGGGTAGGAAGTAGAAGAGTGTTATCTTCACTTTTCCTAATGTTCCCTTAAAGAATAATTTATCTGAATTTAGATTTGGAAGCCACATAATTTTCTAGCGTGATGATGTATCAAAGTTCATTTAACTCACTTTCTATTGTTGGATATATTAGGTGCTTACAATGTTTTGTTAATATATATAACACGTGAAAATATCTCACATAAATTCCTTTTTATAATTTTTATTTTTGTAGAGACAGAATCTCTCTATGTTGCCCATACTGGTCTCAAACTCTCAGCCTCAAGTCATGCTCCCACCTCAGCCTCCCAATGCACTGGGACTACAGGTGTGAGTCACGGTGCCCCGCCCTCACATAAACACTCTAGGGAGGGTATCTCATGAAAAAATGGAGACTGGTGTGGTCCCATGTTGTACCTAATGATAGAATCACTGAACAAAAACTACTGTGGGACAGATTTTAATTCAACCTAAGAAAAACTTAACAACTAGAGCTTCTGGCCTCTCTGGAACAGGTTGCCTTGTGGGGGAGGAGGTGAAGCTGCAGGCACAGCAGGTGCTAGACTCCAGGCCAACTGGGCCACCTGCCAGGTGTGGTCCTTCTTGAAATAACAGGCCTACGTCAACCGTGAGACACAGTGGTACCTGGCATAACTATTGCTTGCTGGGGGCATTGAAAAACCGCAGGCATTATTGTCTCTTAGGAGCAGAAACTGTGAATCCTTTTGAATTGCTGAATACAAATGCCCTGAATGAGCCACTAGAGCCAGGGCCAAGGACAGAACATGAGATTGGAGTTGTTGAGGCAGATATTCTTTTATTTCAGGCAGATACTTTATGAATGTGGCCTGGTTATTTAGATCATTTCAAAAATCACCTAAAGTGAACCACAGTCCTTCATTTTGTTGCATTGCTCAGGACTTGGCCAACATCTTGCCAACATCAGCATGTTATTAAAAATATACTACTGATCCCTTTCAAATGCAGAGAGTTTTATGGTTGATATAGCACTTTCTCATATATTTCTCCCTGTGATCTTCACTATCACTTTCTAAGAAGGCATGGCAAATATTATTATCTCAATTTTTATATGGGGAAACTGAGGCATGGAACATTGAGTGACTCACCCAATGCCATGTGGTAGCATCAGACCTGGGATGGATCTAGCCTGTGGAAATTGGAATCATGCAAGCGAGGCAGTATTTTTGGCTATGCAAATGACTAGCAATGTAACTTTGGGCAGTCTTATAGGTAAGATGATGGTGGTGGAATAAGATAAAGTCCAAAGTGTCTACCATATTGCTGTTGTCTGAGAGTCTCCTGCCTCTCCATACAGCATGCTATCTACTGTGGTCTTTACTTCTTGCTTAGCAGGTGGGAGGTGAAACAAGTGGAGTTTGTGGGTTGGGTGAAGCAATAGGATGCGCTGGGGTGTGTTTCCAGGGCGGTAACATGAGATCCTTCAGCTGCCATAAGATCCGTTCCCAATAGATCGCTTTCAGAAGCTTGAGATCCTTGGCTGCATTTTGATTCCGGGTTTGGAATTTGAGAATATGTTTATTTACTTTGTCGGTTCAGTTGGGGTGTGTGGTGGTGGAGGTGGCCTTTGAATTCAACAACCCTAAATGGAGAAGAGTCAGCTTGAATAGTGAGGTCTCCCCGTGTTACAAAGTATGGGGTTGCAAGGAAAGTTATAGTTTAGTCTGATTCTATTTTTTAATTTTCTAAGTGTAACTATTTAACTCTAAGCTAGATTTTATACTGCTTAAAGGCTCTAGACAAAGCTAACTTCTTCCTTGACTACAAAAGTAAAATGTGATTGTTGAAGAAAAATTTAAAAATGAAGACAATTGCAAAAGCAATTTCTGTCATTTCCCAAAGATAAGTGCTCTTAAAATTATGTTATAATTTCCTGGAATGTTTTTAATGCAATATACATATTTTAAAACAAATTTAGTGTAATACTATACATACTTATAGATCTCTTTTGTTAATGGTAAACCTTTTCCTAATATTCCCTTAAAGAATAATTTATCTGAATTTAGATTTGGAAGCCACATAATCTTCTAGTGTGATGATGTATCAAAGTTCATTTAACCCACTTTCTATTGTTGGATGTATTAGGTGCTTACAACATTTTGTTAATATATATAACACGTAAAAATATCTCACATAAATTCTTATTTAGAATTTTTATTTTTGTAGAGACAGAATCTATGTTGCCCATGCTGGCCTCAAACTCTTGGTCTCAAGCCATGCTCCCACCTCGGCCTCCCAAAGCACTGTGACTACAGGCGTGAGCTATGGTGCCCCGCCCTCACATAAACTCTTGGCAAGGCATTAGATGTAAGTCTGGTATGTTCCAACAGAAAAACTATAGCGGGATTTCTATTTTTTAGGGTATAGCCACTCTGTTGGGCATTTGTGAGAAAATTATAACCTAGGCAAGTATTATAGTTAATCGATATGGTAACGTCAAGAGTGTAGGGAGACCCATCCCTCTGTCACTATTGTCAGACCTGTTACTGTGATCCTGGCTTTTCAGACGGCTAATATCCTGCATAAACATCAAAGCAGGCCAGGCGCGGTGGCTCACGCCTGTAATCCCAGCACTTTGGGAGGCCGAGGCGGGTGGATCACAAGGTCAGGAGATCGAGACCATCCTGGCTAACACAGTGAAACCCCGTCTCTACTAAAAATACAAAAAATTAGCTGGGCATGTCCCAGCTACTCGGGAGGCTGAGGCAGGAGAATAGCCTGAACCTGGGAGGCGGAGCTTGCAGTGAGCCGAGATCAGGCCACTGCACTCCAGCCTGGGAGACAGCGAGACTCCGTCTCAAAAAAAAAAAAAAAAAAGAAAAAAGAAAAAAGAAAAAAAAACATCAAAGCAGTGGACTCATTTTTCTTTTCTGTTGATTCTCCTGTAGCCTGATGAAGTCCTCCGATATCGATCAGGATTTATTTACAGACAGTTACTGCAAGGTGTGCAGTGCACAACTGATCTCCGAATCGCAGCGTGTGGCCCACTACGAGGTAAGGACAGCGTTTCCCACTCTGTTTGCAAATGCAGAAGAGAGCAGCCCCGGTCATTGTTGTAGGACTCCAGGATCCTCCCTCTGGACTTGGGGCAGATTTGAAGAACCACAGGACTTGAACCTGTACAGTCTGAGGTCAAGGCCAGGACAAGTCTATATGTGTGAGGTTGGGAGTGAGGGTTGGGGATGTCATTGTCAGACGCTGGCTGCTTCCCAGATCCTTTTTAAAAATTTGTATCTCAGCACCTGGAGACTCTGCTTGGGCTTTCTCTACTTGTTAAATCTGTTTCTGTGCATCCACAAAGTTCCTTTCAGGGATCCGGGGTGGAATGCATTGTGCCAGCTTCTGTCTCCGCCTATGACCCCAAAGATAAGCTCAGAAGACATTTGTTAACCACTGTAGGGAAAGACAGCAACAAGCGATGAAGCAGCCGTTGGCCACTTCCTCCCCGAAAATTGCTTCCACCTGATGGCCAATACCCAACATATGCTTATCACGATTAAAATGCCTCCTGCAGAGTTATAACCAAGTTTTAAAGTGCAAATACTCTCCAAAGTCATACATTAGTGGCACTGGCTCTTTAGGATGGAGGAGCAAAAGACCGCTTTTTAATCCTCTATTGGGAGCAGAGGATGAGAGCAGAGAGTTTGGCCTGTGTCCGAGGATGAGGAGGGAATGAGGTGCTGTGGATGGAGTAAAGAGAACTGGGGGATCCCAAGAGGCTGAGCGCTGCTAGGGAATGTTCTGTTTTCAAGAGAACATATACCAGTAGGAACATGAATCTTTCTCTTTCTTTCTTTCGTTCTTTCGTTTTTTCGTTCTTTCTTTCGTTCTTTCATTCTTCCTTTCATTCTTTCCCTCCCTGCCTCCTCTCTTTCTTTCTTTCTTTCTCTTTCTTTCTTTCTTTCTTTCTTTCTTTCTTTCTTTCTTTCTTTCTTTCTTTCTTTCTTTCTTTCTTTCTTCTTTCTTTCTTTCTTTCTTTCTTCTTTCTTTCTTTCTTTCTTTCTTTCTTTGTTTCTTCTTTGTTTCTTTCCTCTTTCTTTCTTTTTCTTTCTTTTTTTTGAGACAGGGTCTCACTCAGTCACCCAGGCTGGAGGGCTGTGGCACAAGCATAACTCACTGCAACCTCCACCTCCTGGGCTCAAGCAATCCTCCCACCTTGGCCTCCTGAGCAGCGGGGACTACAGGCACATGCCACTGCACTCAGCCAATTTTTTACTTTTATTTTTAGTAGAGACTGGGTCTCGCTAAGAACATGAGTTTTCAAGTGTAAGAACTTGTAAGTAATTTTAGATTGGAAGGCTTAGCCAGCAATTTTCTTCTTGTCTGACAAGTCTGACAAATGCCAGTTGTCACTATCATTACGCAAACTCTGGTGGGCCTCAGATTCCTCTGTGCACAATGAAAATAATTATAATAACACACACACATATGCACCCAGAAAGACAATCAACAGGCCCTGTGTACTCCTCAGGATTTTGTGGTGACCAAATGAGATCTATCGAAATTGCACCTGTGAAAATGCTTTGGAAGTTGTAAGGTCTACCAAACATGCAAAGTTATATGCTTATTCATCATTAACCTCTTTGCAGCAATGTTTTGATGAAAGCAAATGTTTGATGAAAATTTTAAAATCAGCATCTGTGAAAAAATTCATATAGTCATTGTTAAAAGGCAACCAAGTGTTAGCAGTCAAAAGAATTATCTAAAAAAGTCCATCGTTTGAACGTAAGGACTTTCTAATTTCTGTGACTATGGCTTCATAAACACACACACACACACACATATATATATATGTATGTATATATGTATGTGTGTGTGTGTATATGTATGCATATTTGTGTGTGATGGAGTCTCACTCTGTTGCCCAGACTAGAGTGCAGTGACACGATCTCAGCTCACTGCAACCTCTTCCTCCGGGATTCAAGTCATTCTCCTGCCTCAGCCTCTCCAGTAGTTGGGACTACAGGTGCATGACACCACACCTGGCTAATTTTTTTGTATTTTTAGTAGAGATGGGGTTTTACTGTGTTAGCCAGGATGAACTCAATCTCCTGACCTCGTGATCTGCTCACCTTGGACTCCCAAAGTGCTGAGGTTAAAGGCATGAGCCACCATGCCCAGCCATATGGTTTTATTAGTATGTTTTCCCCAGTTAAGAAAACGGGGGAATTTGTCCCTGCTCTGAAATTCCATAGCCTCCTATTAGTACTTTATGTTCTTCCTTTATTAGACTTTTTGTGTTCATTTGTAATCATCTTACTAGATTCATGAGGACAGGAACAGAGTTTTATTCATTTGATCTTTCATAATTGCTGGAATAGTGCCTGCCCATGACAGGTGTTCAGTGAGCGTTCGTAGAGGGGGTGGGTGTGTTACAAAACTGTACTGGTGACCCTGCCCCACATTGCCTGATTAGAAAAGTAATGTCAGAACATTGAAAACAATGAAAAATTGTTTAAAGAAAGAAAAATTTCAGCTGCTCAATTAAGTGTTCAGTTATTTGATCGCACATTTTGCACGTTTTCCTGTTAACATACTGTACCCTCGCTGTTGCACAATCTAATTGTTTAGAGAATGTGTTAGTGTTTGTTGAATGTAGCTAGATGACAGAGAAAATAAAGCAATTACAATAGATTTGCAATTAACAGTGTTACACATCATCGAGATAACATTAAATGCATTCCCATTAAATGTGGATGGGAACTCTGAATGATATTTCCCTCCTTTCCTCCAGGCAAAGGTAAGGCCCTTCCTACAGTGAGAAATAGCTGTGCATTCTTGCCACAAGGCTGCTGAGCATGTGAAAAGGACACAGTCAGGACGGAGGATACCTTATATCAATCTCCGGTCTCTCCAGCTTTGGTTGAGGCTTCTCCAGCACCACTTCTTTCTCTCTAAGAAGATAGCGTGCGTCAGACGATCTCTAAGGCCATTTGAAAACTGATATTCTGATTCTATCAATCTGCCCCTTCCCTCCAGAGACACCTTCCCTGCCGAAGTGACTTATGGAATGGGTCTCTAGGAGATCAAAATTCCATTCAATTCATTGAAACTGTTGTCACATTTAGTCTCCATGCCCTATTACTGATTTATTGTTTTAGTATGATTTCATTTTTCAGTTCAACCTGATAATTTTCTCAGCTTCCCTATAGGGCAAATCAGTGAGAATCCACTGTGTATTTTCTGTATATCCAGCAATATTAGTGTTAGTTATTGCAGGGGATTCTGGACCTATATGAGAAATGATCCTTGTCCCTGAGAAGCTCATAAACGTCATTGAGAGAAAAAGTCACAGATAGTTCAGTGTGGCAAAAATGCCTGTGTGATTCCAAGCACATGATCTGTAGAATTCTGCTGTCTGCTTTTAAGCAGCTACTGGTGGAATCTGATACAAAGAAAGTGTTAGTTATTTTGCCGACTTGCCGTCCTGTTGTATGCTACAATGTGCTGTTAACTTTGTAGATATTTGCATATTACAATTTAAAAGAGGGAGGCATCACTTAGAGCTACTATGACCAAGAGAGACTTGTTGGAGAATGTCATGATTTATCCATGCCTCCACAAATGGGTTAAGTTTAGGGGTGAGTGGAATGAGAAAAATCTTGGTATCAATATTTAAGGAATATTGAGGGGGCTACTCTAGCAGGATTGTGTTAGGAAAGGATGGGGTCAGGATATCAAGGAAAGAAGAGTTTGGAGTCTGTGAGGCTCTTAAGCATTTGGCAGCATAACGCTTTAACTGAATATTTCTAAATGACAGATAGTTGGTGGTGGTCAGGGCGTATTGTTGGGGAAAAGAATGACTTTTGGTATGACTTTTGCTGTGAGACTATGTGTTAGTCTTCCAAAGTAGGAGAGCAAAACAAAACAGATGGGTTAATGCCTAATAGTTGCACACACCATTTGAAAGGCTGAACCTTCCCACAAGAGGACAGAAAAACCTAATATATGTCTAGTCAACCAAACCTTTACATGCTATGCTTTAAAAATTCTTTTTGCATATGAAGTCCTCAGGTGGAAAAAATGGGGAACAGAGAGGCATTATTATTTTTCTTACTTGCTAAGCGTTAAGAACACATTAACGTTTCAGTAGGAAATATAATTAGATGTCTCTATTCACTGGACGAATAGTCTGAGTCAATAGACACAGACACAGAAGGAAGACAAAACTTTCAGAGGAAAGGGCCTAAGTGTTACAGGGGTAAAAAACAGTTTCCCAGGGAGGCCATTTGTGTGGTTTGCTGCAGTTTCAAGTGGCTAAAGAATAATTTCCTGCAAAGGGAAAGAGTTCTTGTATGAGTGAAGGAGTGACTTTCTGCAATGTGGAAGAAGAGAAAAGTACAGGGCAGAAAGATGATATATGTGTGTATACACACATACACACTCCCCCCCCACATAAACACACACCCACCCCCAACCCCCAACACACACACGCCCACACCCACACATACATATACACACACATACACACATACTCGCCCCCACATACACATACACCCACCCCCAACCCCCCAACACACACCCACACCCACACATACACATACACACACATACACACATACTCCCTCCACACACATATACACACACCCACCCCCAACCTCCAACACACACACCCACACATACATACACATACACACACACACACTCTCCCCCCACACACATACACACGCACCCACCCCAACCCCCAACACACAACCCACATACACATACACACACACACACACATACACATACACACATACTCCCTCCACACACATACAAACATACACCCACCCGAAACACACACCCACACCCACACATACACACACATAAACACACACACACATACACATAGATACATACATATATGCCCCCACTTCCTACACACACCTACACACATAAACACACACTCATACACACAAACACACACATAAACACAAATGCACATATAAACACACACACACAAACATCCACATAAACATACACATATACACACACAAACACACCCATAAACA